ATGGAACTCCGTGGTTGATCTCCTGAATGGATTTTTAAACTACTATTGATAGCAAGTTGATAGTGGTCCGACAAGGAATCATACTAATGCATTGCTACATGCTAGGAGGGAAGTTAATTTCTTTTTGTTTGCACACCGAGCCAGACTAGTAGGTTTGAATAAGCCGTAGGTTTGGCAAAGTGGAAGTTCACAGGTTTAATTAAGTTGAAATTATTTAGAATTTGTTCATTTATTTATCAACAATGTTTAAAAGTAGAGTCAGTCAATCAATTTGTACGTTAACGTCCAAGTGTATTGTATGAAGTTCAAGGCGAAGCTCTTGTGATTGTTAAAATTTTCTGGGCATTTTTAGGGAAGGGTTCTAAAAAGAAGGGAGTAGTGTAGTATTATGGTAACATTAACCTAACCAGGTTACAGCAGAATACCCTCAGTCACGGCCACTAGTAATCACTATGAAAGCGACACCTACACTCAGACCCCTGAACCATTAATTGTTTTACGATCGCCTTGTTCTTCTTGTTGTTATGCCAAACACCGAATAGAGGCGCGAGCCTTTGACTCGTCGCCATTTACCACTCATGCGATCTGTTGTTCACATGATCTTGGCTCTCCCAAAACCCCAATACTACAGTACTAAGGAATTTCTTTCTGAATAATTTTAAAGTTTTTCTAAAATGTATTTTCATTCGTTCTAGTCCTCTTTCATGCTATTCGGAAGGACTCAGCATTGATATAGGAGGATTTAAATTCTCCAACTACCGGTAGTCCCATTTCAAAAGCCAATTCATTCAATGATAGTAATGCAGGCAGCAGATCAGGGAATGATGGAACTCAAATAGATCAATTACAAAGGTAATATACCACATTTAAAAATTTCATCAAATCTATCTATCTGTCTATGAATAATGAATGAATAATTTGGTTGAGGAGTAAGGGATTTTAGATACTGAAACATGGACTTTTTTTCATTTTTAGAAAAACAACCAATAATGAATTAGAGCAGTCACTTGGAGACATGGACAGTATTAACAGCAAACTTGGTATGTGCTGTAGAAGTAATCTACTTTTAGTTTTTCTGGCTAACATCAATTGCGCTCCTAACCTGAGCTCACTATTTTCAGCATATCTGGAATCAGATGTTGTCGAGATTAAGAAGCAGTGTGCCTCCAATGGTACCAAACTCACAGAGTTAAGTTTAAATGTAGCACGCCTCTTGCGTCAACATTTACCTGGCCAGAAAGCCATCACACTGCCAGCAGGTTTAACAGATAAGATTGTACCTGTCAACACATTGGATGGAGTGGACATTTTTTCTGAGTGGCTGAGCCAACCTTTAAACTGGGATGCTATGGTGGGTTCTCTTAAATTTTATCTTGATCCTTCAACCTGTAAGAAATGAATATGTCAGAGAAGTTTGAAAACTGTTTTCTGTCTGCATAGATTGATTATTGGTCGAGTCGATAGAACTAAAGCTGAGACTGGAACTGAAACAAACTCGGCCATAGCTAACATTGGGAGGGTGTCCGCCCGGTGGGCCCAGCTCGTGAGCCCCCTGAAGCTGACAACATTGAAATGTCAAAACATTGTTCTCAACATTTTTACATTCAAAAAAATTTAAGGCCCGAATGTGGACGTTACTAAACAGATCCCTGTAAAGCTATGTAGGGAAAATATAAATTGTAGGCTAAAATGAAAGGTGATGTGGCTATTCGATGTGCACAATGTGCTGTAGGGGCATTGCACAGTTGGTTGCAGTGGAGTACACTTCCCCCTCCCTAGCGACGGCCACGGCCTCCCCGGGCAGGAAAAGAGATTAGCAGAACATTAACCTCTTTCAATCGTGTGAGACGTACGTGGCGAGCGCGCGTCATCACAGTGCCGACGTCCTAACCTCTTCTCGCACGTGTGGGATGGGCAAGTCCAGGAAGACTCGAAAAAAGCTCCGGGCCCAAGATGATTTTACGTCTGCTGGAAGCGATGGCGACATGGATCCCGGCGGTGCCCTCGTTGACATGGGCCCACCCTCTAAAGTCATCGGATACGAGGATTTCCAAACTCCACTCCCGCTGGTGCCCGAGGGAGATCGGCGTCGACCTGTCGGCCCGGGTTCCGGGAATCTCTCCCGGGCCTCCTCTGATCTCATCGACAGCGGCTCCTCATCTGAAGACGACGACAGGGACCTCCGGCGAAAATCGCCCCCGCCTCCACCAGAAGTTCAGGTGCTGTCCTACTCAGCCACAGACCCCGGGCCGTTCGTCGTGGTAGTCAGCTGCGAGGAACGGAACATCTCCGGTCTCTACCCCCTGGCCGTGGGCCGTCGCTTCTCTTTTCACCATGTTCACCCTTCTGATGTGTGCAAGTCTGGCCGCGGCCGGGTCAATGTCATCCTGCCCTCCGCCGCCGAAGCCAACAAGCTCTTGGCTCTTGCCCCCCAGCTGGGGCGTGACGACGGCTGGTCCCTCTCCTTGCCCCAGTCGCAACAGCCTGTCTCGTATGGTGTCATCAGGCGTCTCCCTCCATCCATCGAGCTTGCGGACATTGTCGTCGGTGCGGAGGCGTCGAACGGAGTGCGCGTCTCTGAAGCCGTCCAGCTGCGTCGGCGCGCCTCGGATTCTTCTGGTGCTCCAGTTTGGGTTCCATGTAACTCCTGGAAAGTCAAGTTCAACTCCCGGGACCGCCCGGACAAGCTTCGTCTGTATGGGTGTGTCATCCCCGTGGAGCCCTACGTCTTTTCTGTTACTCAGTGCGACCAATGTTTTATGTTCGGCCACCCCAAGAAATACTGCAAGGGCCGGCCTCGGTGTGGACAGTGCGGGGATTTTGCACACGACGAGGGCGCCACGTGCCCAGCCAAGACCCCTTCCTGCCGCAACTGCAAAGGGCCCCAGCTCTCCTGGGACCCCACCTGCCCTCGTCGTCAGGAAGAGCGAGACATCAAGACCGTCATGGCAGCTGACAACATCTCCTATGCCGCCGCGGTGCAGCGGTCTCTGGTGCAGTCTCCTGCGCCCCTCAAGGCGGGTCCTTCCCTCCAAGCTCCACCCTCTGGCGGCCCTGGCGCCCCTGGCGCGGGCGTGCCTCCCCCCCGCCCTCCAGCCGGGGGGTGGCCTCCACTTGCGCCGAGTGCTACCCCCGCCCTGGATGAGAAGACTGTCCTGGACCTCATTGTACGCCTGCTGGCACAACTGCTGGAACGACTGTCTCCGCTTCTTCCCAGCACGTCCTCCACTACTGCCTCGCTCTCCGCCGTGCTGGCGGAGGCCGCCGGCGCAGTGCTCCGCGGGGCACCAACTGGTGAGTCACTCACGAACGCCCAGGGGTAGGCAGGGGCTTCCCCTCCTCTCCTTTTTCATCCTTTCCTGGAACGCTCGCGGGCTGGCTGGCAAACAAGCTGATTTCCTCCGGCTTCTGGAGGATGAGAACGTTGACGTGACAGCAGTGCAAGAGGCGAAGACGTACTTTGACCAATACCGTCTGGGCGATTTTGAACTGGTTCAAACGTGCATCCCTTGTGGACAGGTCTCGGCCCTCTTCCTCCGAAGCCAACGGCCTCGTCATCCTCAACGGGGCTGTAACGAGGATCGGGACCACTGGCCAGCAGGACTCTATCATTGACTTAGCGGTAGTGTCTGCCGCCTTCGCCCTCTCGGCCTCCTTCGACGTCCTGCCTGACTCGCACGGGAGCGACCATCTTCCTCTCCGAGTCTCACTCGCCTTGGGCCCGGACCAGGACCCTCAGCTAGAAGCGTTTCATTCTACGCGCCGCTGGTTGGGGGGGGGGGG